GTCAATTAATAGTGTCAATTAATAGTGTCAATTAATAGTGTCAATTAATAGTGTCAATTAATAGTGTCAATTAATAGTGTCAATTAATAGTGTCAATTAATAGTGTCAATTAATAGTGTCAATTAATAGTGTCAATTAATAGTGTCAATTAATAGTGTCAATTAATAGTGTCAATTAATAGTGTCAATTAATAGATGTGGAGGATGTGACATTTTATGCCAACCGAGAATCTATTTTAAATTCCAAGTTTAAGCAACGCAGGGACTTGTTAATCAAAACATACCTATAACCGATTTGCACTCGGAGAGCATAAGACAAAACAAAATATGTACTATCGTTAGTTAGACCTATGAGAAGTATTAAAGATATATTTGATTTGTCATTGCGTACAATGTATAGGCAATATTAATTACATTCATGTTTATGTTTCTACTACTGTACTAATTTGCATATAATCCCTGCTTTTTTTGTGCATTCAACTTTATTAGGAAAAATTCTTGTTTTTTCCAATTGTTTTTCTATGCATACATATATATATATACTGTATATATATTATATATATGAGTAGGTGTTATATCACGTGAATTATGAACAACAAGTCTTTAGTGAAAGTACCGAAGTAAGGGCTTACTTATTCATTTAATCATTTGATCATATGACGCACGTACGTATGCACAAGTTGAAGATTATTAATATCAAATCTTTCCAAGATAACCAATCATTGGTAACTCAGGTGAAAAGAAAAAACAAAAATTGGCCATTTTTAGATATGCAGTTGTACTAAAAGATTATATAAATCTGCAAAAAGGATTTATTTCAAGTAATTACAAAAAAAAAAACATTTTATACGTAATCATGTACTGTATGTATTAGGCAATAAATTGTAAATTATAAAGCGAAACAAAAATGTAATAAGATTAAAAATCAATCGTTTGGTTAATTCGCGAGAAAGACGAAATGCAGCATGTGGTTTGTAACGCAAGAACCATCTCGTTGACTCGTTGATTATATTTGTGTATATAATGGTGCACAGATAATTAGATTTGTGATGTTGTTTTCAAGATAAAATCAAGCAAAAATGAAAGAAAAGTATTCTCTACAAAAATTCCCTTGCGTTTTTTTTTCTTCTAAACAAGTTAAACAAGTTAAACAAGTTGAAAATGTCTTATTTATTGTCAAATTGTCATTCTTCTGATTACCATTACAATAATGATATTTCTGACACGGCTTTGGCTACAACGATTCCTCATTCTACGTTTTTATTTATTCAACAGGTCATTAACGGATATATTTCTACGACAATGCATAATATGATCAATAAGACTATCTTTCTTAAATTATATAAACTTATCACACCACACGTAGATAAGAATTATAGATATTTTCCACCGACCGCTTTCGAAATTTATACGCGTGATACATTCGCAAGATACACTGATAATCTCAAGGATCATCAAATAAAAGACAAATTAGTAGACTTATCAGTTCAAATTTGTCGAGAATGGAAATTAGCGTCTGCGGAAACAAAAGAGGTTTATAGAGTATTGGAAAAATGTTCCCACATAGTTTATGAATACATGATGAAAATTTCTAGACATGATAATCTAGAAAAAAATTCTCAACCCTCTACTTTTACATCTACTTTTACAACTAACACGAATAATCTTCGACCTGTATCTTTTATCGATACACATAACAAGAATCTAAGAAGACCTATACAAATTTCAACAAAACAAAGCGATCATACAAATCACTCAAATCATGTGCGATACCCATCTCATAGACAACTTATTTCTCGTAATTTTCCGTATCCAGAAAATTCGACCTCCTCAAACACTCGAAAATTAAATCTCTTTCTAGATAAAGATTCTTCTGATACATCTGATACTATGGATTCTTCAACATTTCAATTTCCACAATTTCCACAATTTCCACAATTTCCACTCGATTTTGCAAATACTTTCTTTTATGAATCTTCAAAACAGCCGGTCAAACGCCTTTTATCTACTAATAGACCGTCTCAATCCTCAAGGATTCCTCAAATTCGACGAGAGTCCTTAACAAGCACACCAAATATTTCTTCACACTTCGGTTTTACCCCATTAATGCAGGCACCATTAATGCAGGTTAGAGAAACAAAACCTGTTTGTCCTATTCCAACATTAGACATGAGAACAACCTTTTTGAACAATGAATACGATCTAAAGTTAGTTAGATCCATTAATGAAAAACTTGAAATAGATTTACATTGTAAAGTTTCCTATTCTTTGTAGATAAAATCTTTTATAAGTTGGTAGAGCTTTCATTCATAAGTTACTAAACTTTTATTAGCTGATACGTAATGTAAACATATGCTATAAGTTTTTTCCCCTTATATAAATCACAAAATTATCAGAGTAGCATCGTTACGCATTATTATGCAATTATTATGCGATTATTATGCGTATATTCGGTATACAACGTCATAATATATATTTTCAATTCTTGGCATATCATGGGATAGTCTAGGTCCAAATAAAAAATTTTAATTATACTTAATAAACACTTAAAATTACTTCAATACTTTAGATAAAGTTTTTTTCATATGCTCGCACTTATCATGACTGGATTGATGTTTTCTTTAGGTATCTTATCAGTACAACTTGAATCATAAAATTTTGTTGATCAAGAAGCAAACTGGATGGTTATGGACATAGTGAAGTATCTTTTGGAAATAACATGCTTCTTTTAATTGGATAAATTCAGGTGAGACACGTCAAAGTTTCTAAAAATCATCCAATTTAAAGGCAATGATTGGTCCAAATTTGATATAATTAATTATTTGTTTGTGAAGAATTTGTGAAAGAATTATGAAATAAAATCTGTAAATCTGTCAAATTTTTATTTCTTTTCCTTTTTAATAAAAACAAAAGTAAAAATATCACTATTGAATATCACATGATCGTACGGTGCACACATTTACGGTATGTCAATTCTTGCAATTCTTTGAACATTAGATTTATTTTTTCCAGACATACAATCCAACCCGTCTGTCGGAATGATAGTATTAAATAGAGACCTGTCAAGACGACAAAACAGCGGATGACAATGACAGGCAATTGATAGGCAAGTTACAGGCAAGCAACAGCAGTTGATAGGCAATTGATAGGCAAATGGCAGGCAAAGTGACAGACAAAGTGACAGGCAAAGTGACAGGTAGAGTGACAGGCAAAGTAACCAGGAAATAAAGACCGATTCTTGGTGTAACATTTTTACGTACCCTAACACTAACTAAAGCATTTTTAGTATAATCGTGTATTTATACAAAAACAGAAGGGACAGGTATAAGCACTATGATGAACAAAGTCTCTCTTTCGATTCTCTTCCATCTTGAGATTATTAAAATCTCATGAAAGAATGAATTAATAAGTATGGTTAAGTACAATGAATAAGTTTAAAGTTAGTTCGCAAGTTAATAATAATAATAAGTTAATAATAAATTAATAGAGTTAACGTTAATAGAAAGTCGCCAATTAATAAGCACAATTAATTTTCACAGTGAAAAATAGAAATGATGATATATTTGGTTTCATAGTGTACCTTTTACAGTCGTGTTATTGGGCCATTAAAAAAAAAAAAAAAAAAAAAACATGGTTATGCTTATATAAGGCAAACTTTATATATGCTTATACAGTAATATGGGTTCACTATATGCAAGTTTTGAAAGAATAGATGCATATTCTTATATTTCACACCCTTATTGTAGATAATATATACAATGTACGTTCGTACAAATGTATTACAAGTTCGGTATACATTAAAAATACTCTTACGTACATTGTTGAATAAATTATATTCGGATTCAGATAAGGTTATATTAACGTCTATCACGTGACTAAACAATGGCATTCCCAGATTCTTTGCTGTAAAAAAAAAAAAAAAAAAAAAAATTATATATATATATATATATAATCCGCACAAGAACACATCCAGAATTCTCAAGTGAAAGCCATGAAACTAATGTCCACATATTCATTCCACACACTCTTTTAATGACTTCTCCCTATTACATTAAATTTCGATAAAAATTCTTGGTACAAACAATTTCTTCCTCGTTGTTGCCAAGAGCCCATAAAAAAACGAAGTTATCCACCATATTAATTCTATTAATTGAATTAATTGTTCTGACATATTTCTGGCACGCTTCGACAATATTCTTTATTATAACTCAATAATAATCGCAAAATTAATATCGATCAAATTTGATATTATTCGATGAACGCGTAACATTTATTATTCATCAATCATTTCATACCTAATCTTTAATGCGCATTATTATTGTGAACAATAACTCTGATATTATCCGAATAATGCGCTTATTATTTGTTACTTTATTTCAACTTAAATCCTTACAACCGTTATTTTTTTTCGTCTTGACTACGGTTTTATCATATTTAGGTAAATGAATTCAAATTCATCACATAATTAAAAAGTGTGTTAAATTTCGTGGTAAACATATACTCTTCATCTTTATTACAGGGTATCGACACAATTTCGTCAGATGATTATTTCTTCAATTCATTGTGTTGACTCGTTTCCATTACATTTCTCTTTTATTATTAACCTTTTTAACTATTATGCTAATTCACTGTTCTTTTTTCACATCGAACAAATCTTTGTGCTTACCATCGTATATTTGTATTATTCAGGTCGAAGAGACTTTTTTATGCTTTGTTATAACTTTACTAGATCGAGCCAACTTTGTCCCAAAAATCATTATGTTGATTCGCGTTTATTTCCTATCCGTTTGAATCCCAATAATTACCAATTTGTATTTGCCATCCCTTTTTCTTTTTTTGTGTTTTTTTTTGTTCATATCCATAATTGTGTTATTCGAATTTTTGTTATCTGGATCCGGATATATTTTTATCCTCACTTTGTTTTTACTTTGTTTTTATTCTTATTTTGCCTTATCCTTCGTCAAAAAAAAAAAAAAAAAAAACCGATATAGACAGTATTCGTAATATAGATTTAAATAAATAAAATTCTTCGTAATCATTATGCTCGAATAAAACGGGTTAAGTTGCATTATTGAATGTATGTATATGAATGTATGTGTAACGTTGTATGTGTATATCAATACAGCAATACGACGTAATAAATGCTTTGATGATGACGTCACGCGAATAAAACTTCTATCGTCATGATCATGTGACGTAATGCAAATGTAGATCAATTCTAACCTATTAGTATAAGCGCAAAGTTCATTATAGAATTGATTCGTTATAAAGGTCCATTATAAAAGAGTTGACTTGTACGTATTCAGCACCAAATCTTGTAAATTCGTAACACAGACATATAAGATCCTAACGGAAAATCTGTTCGCAAGTGCTTTCAATCCCAAGGTTATATTTCGACACTAAATGTCAAGAAATGTTTATTTTCAACAATTGTCAAACGTCTGAAATTGAGCTTTATATTTCTATGGTAGCAAATATGATAAGGTGCCATTTATATCTCTTAATCCAGTAATCTTAGGTATGAAATTTGGTTATCAAATCCAGGTATTTGGATCCCAAATTTAAACTTTTAATTACCAAATTGTATATTAACTTTTAATTATCGTTTGAACGTTTATGCCAGTATTATGTAGATATAATAAATAACTATAAATTCAATATTAGCAGAGTTAGTAATCGCCCACCCGGTATATTGATAACACGTTTCTTTACTATTAATTCATTTTTGCGTATCTCATCAAAGATTTTTGGATTTTAAGGTATTTTATATAAATTCGTCCCAATGGTAGATGTAGTGATCCGAATCGTTTAGTTGAAAATCAACTAGTTGACAACTTTTCAGCTAGTTGATTTAGAAAAATTTAACACAACTAATCGATTTAATGATCAACTAGTTCAATTCGTCTAATCGGGCTAATCTGTTTCTTTGGTTTGATTGGCTAATCGACAAATGTAGTCACATGATATGAAAAATCGATTAGTTTGCAACTATAGTTGGCAACTAGTCGATTGTACCAACTAGGAACACTTGAAGTTACTTGCACCGATGCATCAGTTATATATATTTGGAGTAAGTGCTGATAGACGTATATGTCGTACCTGGTGATGCCGTAGAATCGTCCCGTCATATTGCCGTAACTTGCCGTAACTATAGTAAGTAATATAAAAAAGTTATGGCAATAATACCGTAACTTTCTATATTACAGTATTATTTACTATAGTTACGGCAATGTGACGACTATCATTGGGACGTACCCCAGATTGGAATCGTCCCGATCCAGAATCGGGCTGCCCCGGATGGGAATCTTGCGAATTGTTTTGGTAGAATTAAGACTTTAGGGTTAGTGTTAGGGCTAGAATTGGAGTTTATAATAAAAAATTTTTACCGTTGGCCACTGCCTATAGTACCCGGGGTATTATTCAAGAACTCCATTTTTAAAATTGAATAGTACCCGTGGGTACTGAAGAATCGGGTACTATATTTGGGGACATATCATATTAAAAGTAGTAAATCAATATGGTTGTACCCCCGGGTCTTATTCAAGTAACAAGCCAGTAAAGGTGGTGAATAATACCCGGGTCTTAATAATGGGGGTATTATTTTGGGGGGATACTGTAGGCAGTGGCCAACGGTAATTGGTTAGTATAATTCGGGCCAAAATTACAAAATTCTCATCCGGGACTGTCCCGATTCTGAATCGGGACAGATTCCAATTCGGGGTACATCATATATATATTGTTATTGATATAAATTCGCCTCAATGGTATATGAAGTTACTTGCACCGATGCATCAGTTATATTTATTTGGAGTAAGTGCTTATAGACGTATATATATGGTTATTGTAATGTAGGTCTACTTGTAAGTTTATAAGCAAAAAAGTAATTCGATGATTTCTAAAATGGATGCATAAATGCCCACAGAAAATTAATTAATACACAACATAAATAGCTAATCCTCTCCTGAAAGTGTAAATTTATAGATTCTCGTGGTATCATTCCCACCATATTTGAGAACTAATGCTAATTTATTCTTTAATAAAGTTTATTTGAAAAACAATATTACCAAATTTTTACAAATTAAGATTCGAATTATAAAATCTTTCTAAACCCTAATTAATAAAGTTAGCAAGGTTGTATTGTAATATTTAAAAGTATATATTTTATTAATAT